CCCCCCCCCCCCACAGGCTCCAAACAAACCTTCCACATCAGACAGATGTTCACCTGCACATGCGCTGATGTGGTCTATTGTATCCCCTGTTCCCAATGTGGCCTCCTCTACATCGGTGAGACCAAGCGGAGACTCGGAGTCCGCTTTGTCGAACACCTATGCTTGGTTTGCGACAAATGACAACACGTCCCAGTCCTGAACCACTTCAACTCCCCCTCCCACTCCCTGGACGACATGTCCATCCTGGGCCTCCTCCAGTGTCACAACGATGCCACCTGGAAACTGGAGCAGCAGCACCTCATATTCCGCCTTGGAAGTCTTCAACCCAATGGTCTCAATGTGGACTTCACTAGCTTCAAAATCTTCCCACCCCCAACCTCATCCCAAGACCAGCTCCCCCCATCCCTGCCTCATTGACCTGTCCGTCTTCTCCCACATATCTGCTCCTCCCATGTCACTGACCAATCTCCACCGCCACCTAGCTACACTCACCTTTACTAGCTTCATCCCCGCCTCCTTGACCTGTCCATCTTCTCTCCCACCTACCCACTCCACTATCTACCTGCTATCACCAACCCCCCCCCAGTATTTATTTCAGAGCCCCCTTCCCCTCCCCCCTTTTACAAGAAGGGTCCCGACCCGAAATGTCAGCTTTCCTGCTCCTCTGATGCTGCCTGGCCTGCTGCGTTCCTCCAGCTCCACACTGTGTTAACTCAGACTCCAGCATCGGTAGTTCTTACTATCTCTAAATGAATTCCACTACTTTTTTGAGGGCACTTTTTTGCCCAGCCAGTGAAGTCCATATCCTCTGAGTGGACCAGTAAAAGATCTGCAATAGTCTACCTTGGAGGGTGCTGTAGACAGATTGAGTAGTGACTTTTGAAAGGGAATTGGCCAAATTCTTGGGGGAAATAATTGCATGGAAATGGAGAAAGATCAGGAGAGTGGAACCAATTGGCACCCACTAAGAGTTCGCACAGGCATAATATGGCAAATCGCCACTTTCAGTTATGCATTGCGTCCAAAATGGATTAGGTAATTGATCCTGTAATCTTCTACCTTAATTAAAGTGACACTGACACTGTTAGGATTCCTTTGCTTGACAATTACATTTTGGAATTTAGAATGTAACCAGTGTGATCATTTATGCAAAGAGGACAATGCATTATTGTATGTATGTGCGCAGAAGTGGAATGGGGCTTTAAACTGGACAAAGTCAGGATATACTAAATATATCTATTTTTCCTTTTGAGCCAGAGGCATTCTAATGATGAAGCTGGCTTAAGTAGTTGAACATCAAATAATGAGACGAGAAAAGTATTGATGACTAAAATTTGTGTAATTACAGAGAAAATTTAATTTTGCAATGAAAATAATCATCCAGGCATTAGAAAGTAGAGTCAAGGCATGGTTATAGCACACAAGGAGGCAATTCAACCTGCATGCCTGTTCGAGCTCGAAAGAAGAGCACATCAGTGCCTTGGACTGTTGCCTGCAACCTTGCAAGCATTTAATCTTCAGATAATGATATGGACCCCTTTTGGAAGCCATATTTGAATTACCCTCGTCATAACTTTAAATTTGGTTAACTTTAAGGAGCTAACTATTTTTTGGTACTTTTTATTGATTTCTGCTTTATAAAAAGTTACTTGTTTTAGCTCAGGGATAATAAGTTTGTGTCCCCTCAAGTAAGATAGTAATAATTCTTTACACCGTTAATCCACTTCTGTTGTTCTGAGTGATGTTCAGGTTCATGCTGTAGAGGTAAAACCATCTACTTCATATGTGTAGTCATGGCGATCTGCATTGCCAGATAGTGGACAATATCCAAAAAGGAATTTCATTAGAATGCTGATGATATAAACGTTCTAATGATGCCTGTTATTACAAGTTAAAACAGTATTTCTTAAAAACTAGGGAATGTAGAAATGAAGGTTAGAACTGCTGGAACATGATGATTAACTGCAGTCAGCAGTAAGGTCATGCAGTCCTATCTCCCATCTCAGCAAAAATGGGAGAAAACAGGTTTATTTCATATGAACAATGACATCTGGTACACTAGCTCCTTTGATGTTACCTTTTTACTGTCCACAGTGCTTTTCTTCCTCATTGTTAAGGGGTTAATCCATAAAACTGATGAGAAACTGGCAATATTGATGTTTGTGTAGATCTGATTTGAGATGTGAATGTAGACTTATGTTTGAATGCAAATACTGCCCAGGTTGCAAATTGCATTAGTTCAAGAAGCACCTGGTTTTTCAAGTTCAAATCACGATAGGCATTTTTAAAATGCAACTACTTCTTATAAAAATCTTGTATTACAGTATATACCTTAATCTGTTGAAGAATGATAATGTGGTTTGATATGATTAATATACTTAAAAATGAGAACTTTTCATTTGTCAGTCTATCATCTGTAAGTAATTTGGTTTTAAATTACTGAAAATTGTTTTCAAAAATATATTCAGAGCTATTTGCTGATTATATTTGGGTACAGGAATCAGTTTTTTAATAAATAAGAAGCAAAATTGCATGAAAATGCTTGTAAAAAATGAATGCCTTTGCACCCAGAAGTTTTAAATGCTTCCTTGAAGGCCAGCAAACAAATGAAATTAGTGGTAACTCCCAGTGAGGGTTGATTCCTCTTAGGGCTGGTGTCTGCTTTTAGCATGATTTCAGTTTTTATGAACTGATGCAAAAATTGTGGAAATTTTGTGTGCACTAGATCTAATTTGTACATACAATTCTTTGATCTTTTGTGCGGATTATGCCAATATCAGCAAGACCCCAATGCATCAGAACAGAAAAACTGCTTACCTTTTCATTTTGAGGTAAAGTTGATTAACAAACAGGGCCACGCACGTTATATTTGTTAAAAGAATGTTCAGATACATGTCTTGAGTTAATGTTTTTCTTTTTAGTTGATTCAAAAAACATTGATATACATGCAAGAATTCCACCAGAAACCATGAAAGGACTCAAAGAGCTGGGTCTGTTTGGACAACAGGTTCCTGTAGAGTATGGTGAGTGTGTAAATACTGCAGGATAAAATCATTGATGTCAAACCTTGTATGTAAGGGGAGGTAATGGCCTAGTGGTATTATCGCTGAACTGTTAATCCAGATTCCCAGATAACGTTTGAATCTGGGGACCTGGGTTCAAATCCTGCCATGGCAGATGGTGGAATTTGAATTCAGTAAAATATCTGGAATTAAGAATCTAATGATAGCCATGAATCCATTGTCAATTGTTGGAAAAACCCATCTGGTTCACTAATGTCCTTTAGGGAAGGAAACTGCTGTCCTTACCTGGTCTGTCTAGATGTGACTCCGGATCCACAGCAATGTGGTCGACTCTTAACTGCCCTCCGGGTAATTACAGGTGGGCAATAAATGCTGCCTAGCCAGCAACGCCCTCATCCCGTTAATGAATAAAGAAAAAAATCAAGGCATTGAAAATAACTGTGCATAACATACAATAGTTCTTGTGACTACTTATTTTGTTTGAGTGTTGGCATCAAAATACAGTAATTGTATTAATCTGTTGATGGGTGTTCTCTTCAGGTGGCCTTGGTCTATCAAACACCATGTATGCACGAATTGGTGAGATCACTTCTTTAGATGGGTCAATAGCTGTTACGCTAGCGGCTCATCAATCTATTGGACTGAAGGTATTTGAGATATTTGTAATATCTTTCTCCAAGTACGTTGTAAACTGTTGATTTGAATTGAAGAAAAGACCAGTCGCTGTCTCCTTCTGTTCAAGAAAATCTTCTAAATTAAAGTAGTTGTGGTGTTGTGGACATTGGTTTCAACTTGGTGACAATTTTTGTGGATGTTGAATTAATGTATAATGTTGAAATTTGAAGAAATGTAGGTAAGTTTTAATCAGTTTCTCCACACAGTTATGTGGCTTCTTTCAGCCAGATGTCTTTTCTTTAGGATGGGGCATTTCAAAACTAGGGGGCGCATTTTTGAGAAGAGAGAGATTTTAAAAAACATGAGGGGCAAATTTTTTACACGGCAGATGGTTAGCATGTGGAATGACTTTCCTGAGCAAGTGGTGGATGTGGGTACAATTATACCATTTAAAATACATTTTGATAAATACATGATTAGGCAAGGTTTGGAGGGATGTGGGTGAGGATCAGGCAGGTGGGACTAGTTTAGTTTGGGATTATGTTTGGCATGGACTAATTGGACTGAAGGGTCTGTTTCCCTGCTGTATGACTCTGTAACCCTGTGACTCAGTATTTGAACTCCTAGCTTGGTATTGCTTAATAAACATAACTTGGTTTATTCCTATGGTACCAAAAGTGGAATTAGCAGATATCAGTTTGGTGTGGTGCTCAATATATACAATTGGCATCTTACTATATGCTCCTGTAATGCAGGGGAACGATGTCTTACCACTTGCCGTGACTCCAATTTTTCCTGACCTATCCTGGATTCTTGACAGCCTGCTTTCTCTCAGGAGCTATGTTCTGGCATTATCCAGCATTTTTTGAAAAGGACATTCCTAGTGAAGTCCAAATTTAATCTTCCAATGCAAACATTGATTATGCAAATTTATGATGTTCCATTATTTTCTTTCTGTGGTGTTTTCTATGAAACTTATTATTTGTTGCTAACTTCTATCTGTAACTGAATTAGCTTCATAGGTTAAGGTTTCTTTGAACCATCTTGACTCCTTGACTACCATTTAAATGATGGAGAATTCTCCATCAGGATATGGAGGGTTCTTCTATTTGGTTAGAAGAGATAGAAAGTGAAGATAATATAGGAGACATTAGATAGAAAGCAAAGCAGAAAGAGGAGTATGGTTTTGGGTAGTTGCTCTATCGAGAAATGGAGTGGCAGACAAGATTATAACTGCAACATGCCCAAATACAGGAGAAGGTACAAAGTCATTTTTGGAGAAGTCTAGAGAAAACAAAAATGGAAGGAGTTATAACTGAAAAGCAGGACATTTAAGTTGTGGATGGTGAGCATGTTTTTTTTGACTGGCTCATGGTGAAAACACTCGTTTGAGCTCATGGGGATGAATGGCTTTTCTCTGCAGTGTAACATATTATGGTTCTGGATAATGGGGGACAAAGATTGCTTATTGGAAATAAATAGTTTGAAATTATACCTGAAATGAAGACAGTGGAAGGGAGTAGAATGGTATGAAATCTGCCAAATATACAATTTTCTTTCAATGGTCACGGATTCTAGGTCATGAATGAAATGTGCAGCTTCAGGGAATAGGCTGAAGGAGCTTGAACCCTAGAGGCTCAACTGTTGTTTTGGTTACTATTGCTACACCTGCCCTTACACCTCCCCCCTCACCCCCATCCCAGGCCCCAAGAAAACCTTCCACATAAAACAGATGTTCACCTGCACATCTGCTAATGTGGTATACTGTATCCGCTGTTTCCGATGTGGCCTCCTCTACATCGGGGAAACCAAGCGGAGGCTTGGTGACCGCTTTGTGGAACACCTACGCTCGGTTCACGACAAACGACTGCACCTCCCAGTTGCGAACCACTTCAACTCCCCCTTCCATTCCTTGGACGACATGTGCATCCTGGGCCTCCTCCAGTGCCACAACGATGCCACCCAAAGGTTGCAGGAACAGCCCCTCATATTTCGCTTGGATACCCTGCAGCCCAATGGTATCAATGTGGGCTTCACAAGCTTCAAAGTCTCCTCTCCCCCTACCGCATCCCAAAACCAAGCCAGCTCGTCCCCACTTCCCTAATCTGTCCGTCCTTTCTCCCACCTATCCACTCCTTCCACCTCAACACCCATCCCCACCTCCTACCTACCAGCCTCATCCCCGCCTCCTTGACCTGTCCATCTTCCCTGGACTGACCAATCCCCACACTCACCTTTACTGGTTCCATCCCTGCCTCCTTGACTTGTCCGTCTCCTCTCCACCTATCTGCTCCTTTATCCATCTTCCATCTGCCTCCCCCTCTCTCGCTGTTTATTTGAGAATCCCCTTCCCCTCCCCCATTTCTGAAGAAAGGGTCCAGACCCGAAACGTCAGCCTTCCTGCTCCTCTGATGCTGCTTGGCCTGCTGTGTTCATCCAGCTCTACATCTTCATTGCTGTGCTTGAAAGCATTATGACTGATTGGTTGGAACACAATGTGCTTGATCTCTTCTGTCCTTGAATGTTTTTTTTAAATATACACCTCGGCTGAGAGTGGAGCCACTGATTTTTCAGTGCTGGAGAATCTCTTATTGGTTATCTCTTGGTTACTATTTGCTGGTTTTAGTGTCTTTGTACTGTTCTGAATAAAGAACAATAAAACACAGGAACAAATCCATTGGCCCACGAACACTGCACTGACACATGGCTTTCTAAACTTAAAAACGTTTTGCTTCTACACTGTCTGTATCCCTCTGTTCCCTGCCTATTCATATATCTGTCTAGGTGCCCCTTAAATGTTTATATTGTAACCGCCTCCACCACTTCCTCAGTGCGTTCTAGGCACTTGCCACCTTCCTCATTTCTTTTAAACTTATCCCCTCTTACCTTAAAATTATGTTCTCTAGTAATTGACACTTCTACCCTGAAAAAAGACTCTTCACTGTCCATTCTATCCATGTTTGTCTTAAGTTTGTAAATTTCTATCAGATCTCCCCCTCATTCTTTGACATTCAAGTGAAAACAAATCAAGTTTGTCCAATCTGTCCTCATAGCTGCTGTGATCTATTTTGGACATATATTTATTATCAAAAAGATGATATCACTGTGATAGAGACTACAGCTGTATGCCGTTATATAAGTGATCTAGATAGTCTCTGCGTATATGTAATTTCAGTTATCAAATATAGCAGAAATTGATCTTTGTTTATTTTTGCATATATTTAGGGAATTCTAATTGTTGGCACTGATGAACAAAAAGCCAAATATCTGCCTAAACTAGCAACTGGAGAACATGTTGCAGCTTTTTGTCTCACAGAACCAGGAAGGTAAGAAGGGAACTTTGGATCAATCAACCAATAAAGGTGTATGATTCATTTTCTCTAATTTTTTTTAGTCTTTTAAGATATGTGGTCTGTATATTGCAAAGTAAGTAACATTTTGAAGTATTCTGCTAAATGAACTGTGAAAAATTGAATTGTTGCCACCAAGATGTGCCACTGCCTTTTAATATGCACATTGTGATTCCAGGCCATAAAATGTACATATAACAAGTAATAGTGTGAATAGGAGTATTTATTGGACTTTATTTCACTGTATTGTTACAGCAGCATAAGGTATATGTGTTATAGGTTTGTGCAAGAGAGATAACAATGCATGTTGATACTGGTATTGTGGTATGCTTCTTCAACCAGCTGGTCAGAGCTGATTTATCAGTTTCATTGCTGTGCTTGAAAGCATTATGACTGATTGGTTGGTTGGAACACGATATGTTTGACCTCTTCCGTCCTTGAATTTTTTAAAAATATACACCTCGGCTGAGAGTGGACCCACTGATTTTTCAGTGCTGGAGAATATCTTATTGGTTTAGGGATCCAGTCCAGCATTCTTGTTTGTCTTGAATGCATTTAGGGAATCCTACTTGTCACCAATTAGTTGTCTTAAAAGTTACATCAGATACCACTGTGGTGCAGACTCAGGAACTAGAAATGCTGCCGTCTCAAAGACAAAACTTCGCAGCCAAGTGTTCGTATGTCAAGAATAGCAGAAATATTCTGAAATCTAATGACCTTGGTAAGCCCCTGGGATGATCTTGTGGACCCTTTGGGGTAGAGAGATGCAAGTTTGAAAGCCTGTTCTGAGATACATATGGTTATAGTAATTAGCTTTGTGTACTTCTGGTAGCCTGCAGTTAATTTTGGTCATTTTTCCATCAGTATCTGTCTTGATAAGCTGAAAAGTTTAGCTTTTTACTTTTTAATTGTTTAAATGCAGTCATTTAGTCTGATATACTCATCAAATCACTTAAATGCTACTTGAATAAGTATTTAGACAGCATACCTAAAGGCCAGTTGTTCACCACAAGGCAAAAATGGCAATTTAAAAGCAGGGAATGCAGAAATTCTGAGTTATGTTAAATCTACAAAATCGTTGTTACAACAGTATGATTCAGGTTCTCTCTAAAGCATGTGCGAAGTTTTGTGCTGTTACAATGTGCAACTCAACCTGCTGCATGGCTTGCCTTGTAATTAAGCTGAAAGACATTTTTGCATGGGATTTTATATCTCCTTGTCAATTTCAAGGCAAAAGAAAAATTGCACTTTATTGCTTTATAGAGGGAGGAGTATTATAATTATTGAATGATTTTATATTGCCTCACTTGTCACAGCCAGCCTGTGATCAATACCGCACAGGCTTGCCACAGTATGTTTCTGCCACCTTTCGCAGTCTGCCTGTCTTCTAATGAACTATGCCTGGGAATAGACCCCACATTTCTGTTTTAACGTTCTAAAATTGACAAAAATATCAGTGGCAATGTCAGGGAGAACAGTTTCTCACGGTGAGTTGTAGTAATCCAGAATGCAGTGGCTGAAAGGATGATAGAGGCTGATTCAGTAATACCTTTCAAAAGTTGGCTGAATGCATGAAGGGAAACTGTTCATAAGGATGTGTGGAAATAACAAGTGGGATTGATTGGGCACTTTGAAAAATCCACCCAGTGGATTTTTCTGCGCTGCATTATTGACTGTTGTTCTATGTTGACTGACTATTTAGTTTCACAGCTCGGGTGCAAGCAGTGATCACCATGTGGTTATTAAAATGCTCTCTATCAACATTTGAAACACATAACCTTTGCCATTCTATTCATCATTTTGTTATTCTAGCTGATATCCAAAAGCCTCCTTTAACAGAACTTTCTATGTGTATCAGCATCTGTCTCATTAGATTCCAGCTTGCAATAATAACACTTAAATATGAATTATAAGTCCTTTCTCAGAACTCCCTTTATTCGCCATTTATCAGGTGCATAGCCTCACAGTTTTAAAATTGTTACAACCACAGAGAATGCTGGAAATTCCTGCAGTGAGTACCTCATTTCCTGACTCCCCAAAGCTGTGTTGGAATAGTCCCCACTTACTTAGATGAGTGCAGACCCAACAATAATCGAGCTTGATACAATCCACGACAAAGCAGCTCACTTGCTTGGCACCACATCCACAAGTATCTGCTTCTGACATTCAGCAGCAATATATACTACCTACAAGATGCAGAAACTCGCCAAAGATCCTTAGATAGCACCTTGCAAACTCAAGACCACTTCCATCTGGAAAGACAAGGGCAGCAGATACATCTGAACACCACCACTTGCAAGTTCCCCTTCAAGCTATTCACCATCCTGACTTGGAAATACATCACTGTTCCATCACTGTCACTGGGTCAAAATCCCCCAAATCCCTCCCTAACAGCATTGCGGGTCTACCAATAGTCCATATACTGCAGCGGTTAAAGAAGGCAGCTCAGCACCCCCTTCTCAAAGACAGTTAGGGGCAGACAATAAGTGATGGCCAGCCAGTGACACCCATGTCCCATAAATAAATGATGAAGAAGAAACTCAGCAGGTCTGGCAGCATCTGTGAAGACAGGAACTGGGTTAATGTTTCGAATCTGGTTTGACTTGTCTTTAGGACAACTTAAAATTGCCACCACTTGCACTAGAACATAACATCTGAACTTGTATTCATTGGATACTTATAATATTTTTATCCCTTAACATAGATATAATATTCAATATTGCAAGTGCTTTCCGTGCTGTCTCACTCCCACTCATCATTACTCTCATCCTCACTTCTGCTTATGATATATTTTAGTAGCACTTCCTTATTCAATCTCTAAAGGGCCAATATATTAATGCATATCCAATAGTTTGTGAGCTTGTACTTAATTCAGTGGACTGTTTACTATGAGATTCATAACTAAGCTGATTTTGTCATCAACCAGTGTTGAAAATTGGTTGTCATAAGTGTATTTGCCAGCATTTACTGCAAAAACACTCGGAAGATACCCTCCAACTTAAATATTGACCCTAACCGTCATGACCCAACAACGAAGACTAGGCTGATGAAGTTAGAATAAGATTTTGGTGTATGATTGGCATGTCCTGGTCCATTGGCTTTTTACCATATCATGAAATGACTAGTTACAAAATTCATGTATTTTGTTTCATGGAAGTTTTAAATTTTGCATTTGAGATGCATGCTGTGTTCCTTCCAGAATAGGTTGAGAGAAATGGTACAGGTATTTATAGTAAATCTTATTTAACTCAATTTGTTGTTTGGACCTTGACATCACTGGCATTTATTGTGCACAGCTATTTGTCTTTTTAAAAAAAAGAGTTGCTACCCTTTCACGTTGTTGTGGACCAGACCAAACCCCCTTCAAATATAACAAGATAATAGCCTAGA